GTATATATATATTCATCAAAATTAAAAAAAACAGACATTTGAAATATATCAGTCTGTGTGTAATGAATGAATATAATATACACATTTCACTTTTTGAATGGAATTACTGAAATAAATGCACTTTTTCATCATGATATTCTAATTTAATGACCAGCACCTGTATGTACGTATATATACAGTACATATTACTTTTTTGGAACTCATTGGGCTTGAATAAGGATCACTACAGAATTCAGGATACCTCACATATTATGAAGTAACTTCAATGATTCAATGCAGCAAAATAAACAAATCAAAAAAGTAAAGAACATGCAGTTTCCCCTACCACTATCATTATCATGCTTGTTAGTTTTGAACGACAAGCAAGAATGAAAACAATCTGAAGTAACAAGGCTATTTTTAAAATGTAAGGAGTAGAAGTAATAAGTCAGCTGAAAAATAATTACTCCAGTAAAATGTACATAACCAAATTTTCTACAGAAGTAAAGTATTTTATACTTTGTTTCTGTACACTTCTGGTTCTAAGTTTCAGTAAACTAGATTGTCAGGACTGTTGCCAATGGAAAAAAAATAATGTTTTCTCACAGAATAACACTCAATAGATTACCAAGAAGCTTCATAGGGATGTTTATTATTCACTGATTTTTGTTTTGATTGCTGTTAAAGTTAAATGCGCCTCCTGTGGTGACCGAATCCTAAACTCTGTGCAAATATCAAAGCACTACAATCATAAAAAGCTACTTATACACAGCTCCTGTGTGCATATTGAAGTTATGTGGAAAACAGTGGATAGTCTGCCAGCGAGCTGATGGAAATATGTCTAAATAATGACAAATACCTTCAGTTACCTGAACTATGATTACAGAAACACCAGCTTTAGCTCAGCTGACAACTATGTGTGTTTACATGTGGAGGAGATAAATAAGATCAGATGCTCCATCAGAATGAATTTCCCCTCCTGGGTGCGACCGCTTGTATTAATCATGTTCTGATCATACAGGACATGTTAGTGCCAGGTTTGAAAAGGATGCTAAACTGGTTTCCCACAGTACCCACAGATCCCCCTCCCTCCCCTGCAACTACAGCACGAGAAAACAAAAAAATCTTCATCAGAAAGTGAAAAGAGAGTTGACTGGATAACAATAATGAGTATCAAAAGTGTATAGAGTCAATCACAGCTAAATTTAGTGTGTAAATGTCAGTTTATACCTGCCATTCCTGGAGGGGTTTTCAAAAATTTCCCATTGAAATTCTGGATGACTACGTCACACTTCTCTGTTGACTCCATCCTGCGGCAGAAACAAAGGCAGATGGGCTTCAGTGCAATCACTCCTGCTAGAGCTGAATAAGTACAAAAGACTTTGTTTTTTAAATGTGTGTGGGGGAAAAAATGAACTGGTTTTGGATACAAGTGCCTGAAAATACAACTGTGCGTGTCCTACATCTTAGTGAGTATAAATGCTCACCAGTTAAATGATCAGTACGTGGGTGTGTTTGTGTCGTTTCGAGAAATGTCTTAGATAAGCTGGTGTGTGTCTGTGTGTGTGTCTGTGATTTCTATGGGGTTTCCTCTCTTTTGTCCCTCTTTAAAAACTCCATTCAGACTGATCTGTTGTGTGTCATGTCCTCTTTGTCTGCCCCTATTCAGCTCTGCTCACCCAATCGCAGCTCAGTGACTAATTGCCTGCTTGGCAAGCAAAAGCTAGTGTGTCTGTTAGTGTGTGTGAGTGTGTGTCTGTGTGTGAGTGTGTATGTGTGTGTGTTTAGGATGTATGCATTTGTGTGGCTCTTCGGTTTTCTTTAAAACAGTCAATGACCCAGAATGAATCCCTGACTGCATTCTAATCACTGGAAAACTGCAATGTAACTGAGATGACCACACAAACACACACACACACACACACACACACACACACACACACACACACATACACACACTTGCAGAGGAGTAGGGCAATGCCAGGCAGAGCAATGCAGAGTGATTGACTGTAAATGTTAAATTAGGAATATTCAAGTGTACTGGCTTGTTTTTAGAGACAAACGGACAACTTTATTTAAATTTGCATAACTGCATCTAGGTTAAAGCAGTTGCTGGTTGGGTTGTGATCAAACCCAATTTAGCCCTAAACAACAAAATTAAACCTGATTGGATTTCACTTTGATCAGATTTTGTATTGTTTTTGTTTTTCAACAAAAGTGAAAAAAATAAATTATCATAGCTTTTGTTTTTGTGCATTTTCTTTTTTTAAAATATTGGTTTGTTTTGATTTAGAACAAAAGTCTGACAAAATCTACAAGAGAAATTATTCATCAACTAAATAACCACAGGACTAAAAACTACTAATGATCTTTTACAGATGGTTTTCATTGACGACATCATCCGGGACTTTTTTACCCTCCYCACCCTGTTCGTGGGCTACTATTGAGCTTGTAGCGATAAAACCAGTATGGGAGAACCACAAAAGCAAGGGAGGAAAAAATGCAAACAGGCCACTGAACTACGCAGACGAGCATGACCAGGATAATAATACTTTGTATTTAAAACATGCCTTTCAGGACACCCATAGATCTACTGAATAATAAATCTAAATGAAGGTATTTAGCTTTAATGGTAGGAGTGATCTGAACACTCTGGAATCCCGAGGAGGGTGAAATCTTTGTAGTTGATTATCGCCAGCCAAAAAATCATGTCGCTTTGCTGACAGTTCAGTTTCTTAGTGTTTTTACGCCATCTGTTTTTCTTTTTTTTTTAAGAGCATCTCTCTGCCACACGAGCAGCACAGTTTTGTAACTAACTCAAACGRAAACTTGCTCCATGACTGTTAAAACAACTTATAATAGAAACATATTACATAAATAATCTAGACTGTATTCATTTCTGTGCTGTAGATCATCCCCTCTTCTGCATTCGCAGCCACGAATTTCGCGATTTGATCACGAGATCTGCAGGTCGCTATGACATTTGAAAACCATCTGTTAATCATCTTCATTTACTTGAATCCATTTTGGTTTCTGTAGATGCAATTTAATTGACGCCGTTTTTATCCATGTCGCCTCTGATCAAGGTCACCAGTTTACAAAGGTAATGACTTCTACATATCCAAGGCTTATGTGCACTTTTATTCTCATCATATAACTTTAAAAAAAACTTAGAAAAGAGAAAAATGGATAACTGTGATTATTGACTGCTGAAATGTTTGACATATCCTTGTTTTTTTCACAGAACAATATCCTCATTTTCATTTGTTATTCAAGTTCCTAAATCATAAAAAAATGAAAAATGGACAAAAGTTTTATTACATTTGTGTAAAAATAGATAGATGGAGGGTGTTTCTTAATATAACTGCAGTTATTTATTACTGTATTTGTGTTCATGGATCTTGGAACTTAAAAAAAACAGCAAAGTTATTGTATTTCTGTTTTTTTCTGCATCAGTAACTTCAACTAATCTTCCCGGTTTATTTGACCTGCATTCATCAATGAGTTTATTGATCATTTTGATCTTTATATTTGTCTCCAAAGGTCCATGCAACATAAATCTGTTTAGTCTATTGAAAATTGTTGTGGTCTTCATGGACCCCTTCACTGATAAAAAACAGAGCTTACTATAGAATGTTTATTTTTATTTAAAACACACAAAAATTCTACTCTTTGCTGTCAACATTGTCCATTTTTCTTCCATTTAAGTGCATGCCTTCAAAGATTTCTATCCTCTCAAGGGAACAATGGAAGTAAGGGTTTAATCACACAACCCTTATCAGTCTGTTTTCATCTATGGAAACCTAAAGTATAAATTAATCCTTACTGTAAAAATTAAGAATAAACAGAATCGTAATGACTCATTTAGGGTTTTATTTCATGTACCTGGCGAAGCCAACTCCTCTGCTCAGGCCATTGGCATCCCTCAGTATCCGTGTGGAAATGACATGACCAAAGGGCTTCAGCATGTTCTCCAGCTCCTGTTCATCCATCGACACCGGCAGGTTGGATATGTAGAGGTTGGTGGGGTCCTGCTCCTGTTGCTGCGAAGGGACAGAAGAAAATGAAGAAAAAATGATTAATACCAGCCTTAAATTCTTGAAGTAAATTAGAAGCAACATAGTCATCGGAGACAATAAAGTTCCTCCATTTAACAGCTTGAAGACAAGAACACCAGTGGGCTGCAAAAAAAAGCTTGTTCTGGTTAGAAAATGTGACTATCTTATTGAAAAAAATACGTGTAGTTTGGAAGAAATGGATTGCCTCCAGATCACCATAACTGGGGTTTAATTTGGCAGATTTTTACATTAACAAATACAAAAAAAGTACAAATAAATGTGACAATGGCTCTGTTGTGCACAAGAAAGACACAAACACACAATAATCAGCCCTGATTGGAAAAAAAGTGGAAATGTTAAACACAAAATAAATAATTTTGTAGTTAAAAATAGTGAAATATGTGCATGCGTGAAGCAGCTGAGCTCTGACATCTTCTGGTATCAAGACTGTTGATAGAAGACGTTGCTGTTATATAGACCCAGTGCATTTGCTCTAAACTGGTTCCTGTTAAACAGAAGAGTCAGACTCCACTAGGTGTATGAGTGCTCATAAAATGGTCCATTGTACAGTCACTTACATTCCACAAAGTTTCCTAGAATTCACATTCAGACACTGAACATCTACCACAACACTCAGACCTTCAATTATTGCAATAAACATTTTCCCATTGTCATCCTTCATGGATTTCTAGTCCAGTTCAAGCACAAAACAGTAAGTACCAAGACACATTTGGACAAAATCTTAGAAAAACCTGGTTTTGATCGGCACAACACTCCCTTCTTGAGAATAAACCTTGTAACTGCACCAAACATTGCATTAGCTGGCTTTGAGTACATTCACTGTTCAAAAAACACAAGTAATATTCTCTACATACAATTTCTGATTCAACAAACAATAGAACAAACATTATTTTAAAACGTGTTAAACTATTTCAGGTATACTTTTATACCTAAGTGGAAAATATGAAACAAGCTTACCACATAGCTACACTTATTAAATAATGATATTCCTATTTATAACTAAATTCAATAATTACATCTTGAAAAAATAGAGCAGGTAATATAAACTGGCATTAGGTTTGCAGCAACAAAGGAAACCAGATTCATAAATATTACCAAATTTACAATAAACCTTTCCATGAGAAAAAAAGAACCTTTTTCTCAGCATCACTCACAGTTAGACAAGTGCACTTCTGTTTCTCTGTCTTCTGTTTGGTAGCATGTAGTTCAAATGATGCACTGCAGGAGATCACAATCTGTCTGTGGTGCTTGCAAATTCAAGCTGTATGAATGCAGGGCTCTGGGTTACAGGGGTTCTATTTCAAACAACTTGTTTTCAGAAGAAAAGCACAACACAGGCATGTTCCATGAATTACGAGGAAAAAAATACTTTGTAATTTCATAAAAGCTATTTAGAAACTCGGCTCCTTCAGTGCTTCTGTTGTTGCTGTAAATAGTTCTGTGATGTTTCATGAGAGTTCATAACTTACTTGGCTCCAACGGCTGCACAGTGATGATGCTTATCTACAGTATTTATTATAGGCTTAGCAATAACTCCAAGAGGGAAACCCAAATATCCTCATTTTCAGCAACACTAAAGATTCCCTGGCCTGAGGGGGTATAGAGTCCCTGCAGCAAGTCTTGGGTTTTCTCTGGAGTAGGTGAGGGTTGGAATGTACTGTATTGTCCTTTGGCTCAGCTGCTACTTAACACCTTAAGCCGGAGTAGTGATAAGTGCATAGTGAAAGTCAAATTCTGTAGATGTCAAAAGAATCACGTCATCCACGATAGACCAACAAGAAATCCTGAAGTTTCCAACCAAATCTGTCCCAACTACACCTCAAGATCCTGTTCCAGAATACCACAAACATGTTTGGTGAACAGGGACACCTAGCTGCACCAGATACACATGGCTCTTGAACTGGCTGACTTTATTTTCTTTATATCCTGCAGAAGTGACCCTGGCACCCCATACTTCCACTGCAAGCTGTTTCAAACACCATTATATTTTACAGCTTCAACCGGAACAGTAAAAGTCTGTCGCCTCCTTATCCCAAAACTCACTGCACATAAAACAAACACAATACAACAACCATTCCAATCATTTAACAGCATGGTAATGTCCATCTTTGCCACATTGGCCTTTATCCATATGTCCTTGCAGCTTTGCACCCTGAAGTATTATTTGTTCACAATTGTTTTTTCCACAGAAATCCTCTTTTAAAGGGATCTCTGCCTACTTTCACAAGTTAGCCTTAATATGTTACTTCTCTATTCTACTAAAGGTTGGTGTTTGTGACATCTGAAAGTTCCTAATTACTTTAAAAATAATGTAAAGTTGGTTTATCACATTTTTCAATTAAGCACATTGACATTTTGTTACTGATGCAATGCATTCTGGGGATGATAAGGATGATAGGTCACAGCAGAGATAAAAACACAGAGTCTAGGCTAAAAAGCAAATAAAAGCTAAGACAGCAAAATTATATTTTCTATTGGTTTATATTTTGCACATTATATGGGTTGAAACGATCAAATGTGATGTTTAGTAAATTAACTCTGGAGCTAATTTTCTAGCACCACATGTTGAAAGATATTTGTGGGGTTAGCTCCCAAGCTAATTCATATATTAGCTTGGGAGGTAACACGAAAACTGAAAGGCTAAAGCTGAGGTGAACCTCACATGAAACAGCTTCAGTGTCTTCCGTCCACATTTTCAGTCACAGTCTGAGTCATTTCTACGTATGCTCTCCTATCTGTCAACTCACTCTGGTTTCATTTAAAAGGGTTGAATGTCAGGCATTGTCCAAAAATAATGTTCAAACTGGAAAGAGCTCGCACTGGAGGACCTGGTTTACCCAGAATGCTCTGTGGTGTAAAAAAACATAGACATTAGTGTGGCAATATACATTTTTTGAATTTATAAAAACTGAACAGCCTAAAGTATTTTTGCAGCCTAATTTTTCTAATTGAAGTACATATGTATTAAAATACAGTATGTCAATGTTACAACTAGTTGCAGTTCCTTTTGAAATATCCCTTTCAGGCACACACAAATCCTGTAGAAAACACAGGGGACAATCACACCAGCTGTTACAATTTAAAGTCTGTTTCTCCAAATAAATCTCAAACTAAATGGTGTATTATACACAGTGTGTATTTTTCAAGACGTGCAAAACAAAATGTAAAAAAGAGGTGAAGCAGCCAAAAGTGAATGAACTCTGCTTGACTTTGCCTAAAGTTGCTGTTTACACCAAGTTACCTCAGTGATCTCTCACTCTGCAGGTTGCAAACGATTCACCACCCTCTTCATCTCTCTCTCTATCCATCTCCTTGCTAGCTGGGTCTCTTTGTCACTCCGACTCTCTTTGTAACATCTGTCATGAGCTGGAAGCAGCTTCGCACCAACTGTGCCCCTCCTTTACTGGGTGGCCTGCCTGCCAGCCCGCCAGTCAGCTTGAGTTTTCAGCCCCATTAAGCCTCATTCCTGCATCGTTACAGCACGTCTGTGCGTCGTCTACCTACAACTTCCTGGTTAGCAACAACTGCTGAGGGCAAAGCAGTAGTTAAAAAAACCTGTGGGAAAAAAAATGTTGGCTGATGATGATACTCCCGATTTCTTAGCAATTTTGCTCTCATCTTGAATAGAAAGACTTTACATCCAAAATGGCACATCAGAACCTTTCATGACTATGTCAGAAAAAATGAGCAGGTAAAGCAGAGCGAGCGTGAACGCTTTGAAAACAAGTGGCAAACCACTTTCATAAAGAAGTATGTGATTATCACAAGTTGTTTCTATTCACTAAAGTGCATCTTCTCTATTTTCTTTCCTTACAAACTACACATATTCATGCTCCTTTGCTCTTGTAGCACACCTGTTCTTGCCTTTATTTTGCCTTCTTTAGCCAACCTCTTTTCCATGCTAAATGTTCATTCAATCTCATGCATCCGCCTCCTTTTCTCATCTCCTTACTTGCTATTTACCCCTCCTCCACATCTCATTAAAACCTAATCTTCTTTAATAGTAGCCTTGCTGACTAAAACACTGTGTGAATATTTAGTTAATATTTAATGGGTAGAGTTTTGTCTTTATTTTCATTGTTTCTTCTCCTAACGTTCGTGTGTTCTTAGTTTCAATGTGGTCTGCCTTCATCTTTCTTTCTACTCGATTTCCATTTATCTTTCTCATCACCCTGCTTCACCGTGTACGTTTTTGTCTTCTTATGTCTTCGTCATCCTCAAGCCAAATTCTAACCTTCTATAATGATTGTCAGGGTGTCTAAACGCTCCCTAACGACCTAATCAATACTTAATGAACATATCATAAATACTTTATGAACCCTAAACCCAAAACTCCCCAGGGTTTCATTAAAGATAGGATACATACACTTTATCCCTATTTTCGTGATGACTGGAGGGGGGGCAGTCATCACGAAGATTCTGATTACCTCACCATTTAATCTCAGGTCATTTCAGCTGCTGCTACTTGCTAAATGTGTTTTTGTGTAAAGCACAGTCATGAACTGTTGTAGGTTGTGGGAAGAAGGTTTCTTCTGGTCCTGCACAATGTTTGTGTAAAACTAAGCTAGAACTCATCTCCATTTTACCCAGAAAAATAAGATTTTGATCTGATAGATTTGCAGTAATCTAGTTATTAAATTTCAAAGTGAGAAATATGCTGATATCAACTGGAATCAATGACTGATTGCATCCAAATAAAACCTCACAACTTTATTGTTCCTTTTAACTAAACAGAGAAACCAGCGACTGTCAAGAAAAGTCACAGAAATGTGCAATAGGTTAAATCCCCCCAAAAATTAAAAGCAAGACAAATTGAATTATATTTTTGCACAGAATAGAAGTTTTTCAAATTTTTGTTTTGTGTTACCTACCATGTCCTGGATAACTGAAAATTTATAACAACTTAAAGCATTTGGGTACCTGTTTGACTAATTCATAGCACAACTATGGTGAACGTGTAACGA